TTTATTATAGTCCTTGCATGCTCTGAGAACTGCCTTAATTTCTCCAAGTGCCTTTTTCCACATGTCTTTCATGTTAAGAGATATTCTTTAAATGTCTGATGATCTTTGGCTGTCCATTCATCTTTGAGAGTGAGTCCCCAAAAACCCTACTGGAAGATCCATTCGTGGCAGGAGCCTTCACTGTAGGGAGACCAGGTGGGGATCCAGATGGCCAGGAAATCACAGACATCAGCATCCTTCTCTGCAGGGACCTTCTCTTGTACCTATTTCCCTGGAGAGGAATACGCTCATCTGCTGGGGGATGGGGGCTCCAGACGGGTGGTTCTAAGCCTGACAACTTAGAATTCTATGACATTATTTTTTTATTCATTAATTCATTCTAATCAGTTACACATGACAGCAGAATGCTCTTTCTTTCCTTGTACACAGAATTCTATGACATTCCTGCAGCCCCACTGCAAGGCTCTGTGTTCCCCAAGGCACTTCATTCCCACTTTCAGCTGTGGCTGGCAGCCCCAGTGTCATGCTCCTCTTGTTTACCCTTTCCTTATAGAAGTCACAGATCTCCTGTGGGGAGGAAGAGACCCCTGGCTGGAGAAGGCATGGGGAAGTCTAATGCCTCCCCTGCCTGCCTTTCAAAAAAAAAAAATCCTCTTATTTTTTTCAGCTACATCCCCATAGTCATGCCACCTGAGGTATCTGATATCTCATAGATTCCTAAGCCTTTCCAGGGAGTCTAGAGTACAAATACTCACAATTATTTGGTAGAACAGAGGAAACAGAAACCTCATCGTGTATTATTCAGGACTGACCAGCTACACCATGGTAACAAACCACCTCCCAAATCCCCATGGCTTGAAACAACAAAGGTTGCCTCCTCTCTTGGTACATGTCTCACACAGCTGAGGCCCCTCATTGTGGGTGTGCAGGATACCCAGAGGACCTGTACTGTGCCAGAGAGGTGCCGCCATCTTGTGACACCACCATCTCAACAAGAGGCTCTAGGTTTGTAGCACCTAGAGAAGAAAACATGGTTTTTGCTCTTCCTGTCTGTAAGCAACACATGTCAGTGCTCGTATTTCACTCACTGGTTTTGCAGTAAAATTTTAGGAAGCAGGTTGTTTTTCAAAGCATAGATTAGTTTTCTTCATATTTTTATAAAACAAGTATTTCCATTCAGTGACAAACATCTACAAGTTCAATAACTTATAGATGAGCAATCCTATCTTCTCATTCTGTATGACTCACCAGCAAACAAATGCCAGTCAGCTCCATGTGTAAAGGGCTGAAGTTCAGAAGGAAAGAAAAGTAGTGTTAAAAGAAGACTTGACTTTTARCTATTATCTCTGGTAAGTGGTAATAAAGCTATTCTTAATTACCTTCTGTTTGCTCCATTATAGTTTCTGATCTTGCCGTTCTGAGAATGCACAGCTTTTGCAACAAGAATTCTACAGTCACATCTCCAGGTCTGCTGACCATAACCACTGTGGGTCAGCCCTTTTTGTTAAAATTTTATCTTTGCTCCTAATAACTGATTTAAAACTCAAGTTCACAGACCTTATGTGGGATAACTTCCCAGATGATAATTTCCCTCCCTGTTATGGTTTGGATGTGAGTTGTACCCCAAAAGCTCATGTGTGAGACAACGCAAGGCGGTTCAGAGGAAAAAATGATTGGGTTGAGAGAGTCTTGACCCAATCAGTGATTTAATCCCCTGATAGGGATTAACTGAGTGGTAACTGAAGTGATAGGATATGGCTGGAGGAGGTAGGAATTGGGGCATGGCTCTGGGTACATATCTGTATCTGGCAAGTGGAGTCTCTCTCTGTCTGCCTCCTGGTCACCATGATGTGAGCTGCTTTTCTCCACCACCTTCTCCCACTATGATGTTCAGCCTTATCTTGAGTCCTGAGGAATGGAGTTGGCCTTCTATGGACTAAGACCTCTGAAACTGTGAGCCCTCAAATAAACTTTTACTCCTCTATAATTGGGCTAGTTGGGTCCTTTAGTCACAGCAGTGAAAAAGCTGACTAAAACACTCTCCTTTAAATGAGTGGTTCTCAAACTTTCACATAATCAGGAATCTCAGGGAGAATTTATAAAACAAAACAAAAAACCAGATCACTGGGCTCCATCTCAGGTATTTAGGTTTGGAAAGGAAGGGTAGTAGCATGCATTTTTTTTTTTTTTGGAGTGGGTACTGGGGATTGAATTCAGGGGCACTTGCACACTGAGCCACATCCCTGACCCTACTTTGTATTTTATTTAGAGACCAGGGTCTCACTGAGTTTCTTAGCACCTCATTTTTGCTGAGGCTGGTTTTGAATTCATGATCCTCCTGTCTCAGCCTCCCGAGCTGCTGGGATTACAGGCATGTGCCACTGTGCCCAGCAGTAACTTGCATTTTTAACAAGTATCTTCCAGCTAGACATCAGACCACACTGCTTTTCATGATGGCTTTCTATTTTCTACATCAGTGTGCATGGAATGAGCATTCAGTAAATATTTTTCTGATGCTGAGGTGGAATAACACCATCAAAGGGTTAGCAAATGAAGGTCCTTCTTATAAATATGGAATGGCAGATGAAATACAACCCACAAATTCAAAAGGCTTTTTTAAGGGGAATATTTTAAAACCCAGGTTTTAGGTTTTGCTTCATATTAAGTATTCATAACCCAGTGAGCCCACTCACCAATTCCTTAGCATCAAGTTGAATTTTTTTCTCTTGATAGCATGGGTTCCTAAAGCATCATTCAACATTCTGTAATTAATTCTGCTTAGAATGAAACATCATGCAAGACAGTGAAGTTGTCTTCCTAGTTCAAATGAATAAAAACTATCTCAGATCCTACACAGGCTGTGCTGGAGGCACAGCATGAAGCTCCTGGGGTCACATGGTTAAAGTCATTTCAAGGAGTTGGTGCAACTGAGGAAGCTTAGAGGAGAGGCTAGCACCTGGACCAGATGCTTCTGCAGCTTCTTCTCTGATGGTTTTCAAGTTTCTAAAAGGATGTACAACCCAGCCTCTTGCCAGCTCCTTACTTTTGAAAATCTGCTCAATTTCCACCTCATTTGCAAAACGCTTGCTGCAATCCCTCCTAGCTGTAAGAAACCCGCAGACAGCTGGAGGTCAAGGAGAATGCTCCATGTGAGCACACCAATTTTTAACTGACTCAGAAGCCTACAAAACAGAGAAGAGATGCTAGGCATGTCTCAACCTACCCAATGCTGCCCCCTGGCTGGGGAGGATGTAGTTGCCTTCCCCATGGGTTTCCAACCTTTACTTACAAGGTGCTAGATTTGCAGTGTAATCAGCTGACAGCACACACTGACTTGACCAAAGCAAAAGGTGATACTGCTGTAGCCTGCACAAACCTTTATATATTAGAAAAAGTGAACATAATAATGTTCATAACAAAATAATAATTTTTCACTCTAAAGGATATACTGAGAAATGGCCTGGTACAATCGTAAATGCAGAATTAAATGAAACTGAATTTAACCTCTTGACCCTTCTTTTACTCCAAGCTCCATTTTTAAATGAAACTGCTTAAAAATTACCCAAGAGGATGGAAAAGTGAGAGTTGGAGCAGAAAGAATCTTTATAGCAAGGCAGAGGGGCAAAGGTTAGTCTTCTTGATTTATTTTGAACAGATTGTGACACCCAAGCTTGCCATATTATCAAACTCCTTAGGTATTTTAAGAATGGAAAATAAAATGTTGATAGGGGCAACAATAGCTTTGTGTAGGTCTTCACAGGGAAGTAAAAATATAGCTTTAAATAAAAAACATGTCTTCTATGAGGTGGGCAGGATGCCCAGGTACCACCAGAAGTGAAATTAGCACTTATTGAAAACCACAATGAGGCAAAGAGTGGGAAACACACACACCTGCAGAAACCTTGGCCAGAAAGGGCTCAGAAGGGTTTCCAACAAAGAGGCCATAATGCCTGACCCAAATCTTTAAGGGATATCTTTAAGGCACTGGTTCCCCAGTTGGGGTCCTGGAATCAGCAGCATCACCTGGGACCTTTTTAGTGACCATGCTGATATTTAGCTAAAAGCCCTGCCTAGAAAACAGGGAAGATTAAGACCCATCTCCTCTCCGGTTATTGTGTGTTCTGGGAAAAAGTTTACAGCAAAGAAACCCCCTTCCCTAAATGACTTGGATAAGTTTCTCAGATGACTCTTGTTGACAAGGCCAGGCATGAACCCTCCAAACTTCCATTCTTTGCCTAATAAATGATTAGCTGAACTGTTGATTAATTAGAATAAAATGCTTGTTAACTTTGGTTAAGCTTCTTTCCTTCCCCCAGGTGCCTCAACTTTGGCCTGCATAAGCACCTCCCCCAAATAGGCTGGTAGCATGTTAAAATTATTCTCTGATCTACATTTAGTTAGGCCACCCTTTCATCCCACTTCCTCACACCTTTCTTTCTAGCCTTACTCTTCCCTGCAAAAACAAAACCCTTTGGTCTTATCCTAGAAAGGTTTACAGATCTTAGGGTTGGAGGTTCTCCTGTTGCTATACCCCTCACCACCCGGCCCCCTCAATGCCATCCTTTTCTCTCCTTTGCAATAATCCTTTCCAATAAAATTTCTCTTTATTCTATCCAGGCTTTATTTTCATTTGTTATTAGAAATGCAAATTCTTGGACTCATCCCAGAACTTCTGAATCAGCAAATGGATGGTGGGGGCCATGTGTCCAGTAATCTGATTCTCAACAAATCCTTTAGGTACAGTTTGGAACCTAATGATTTACAGCAATCCTGCTGTGGATCTGATAAATGCTTGGAACCCCAATTCCCTCCTGGTGTCGCTTCATTGACCAGAGCTTGAGTGCAAGCTGTTTGAGGGTTACCATGGAAGGGTTCTTAGCACTCGCACAGCCCATTTATCCCATGACCTCGTTTTCCCATTATGTTCAAGGCCACAGAGCTTCCATCTCCCCTCCCTTCCTCACGCGGAACTGAGCCAGCCAGAACCCTTGCAGACTTACATCTCCATCCACCGGCCTCTGGTCGTCACAGTCCCTGGTGGGGCTAATGTCCTGGCGCATCACCCAGATGGGCTCTTTGGGCTCGTCAGGGGTGTAAGGCGAACGGATGGTCCTGGTTTTCACCTCCTCGATGGCCTCCTTGATGTCCTTGATGGCCAGAGAGATGGCATCCCTCTTCTCCTTGCTGTACCGCTGCCCTGCCTCGCCACCAGCGGTGCTCGCTGCCCGCTGCTGCCCAGCGGGTGTCTGCAGACCAGGGCTGTCCGGGCGGCCCCCACCGGGAGTAGGGGCGCGCTCCAGGTCCTGCTCGGCCTCGGGCATGTCCTCCGACGCCTTGTCGAGGCTCTGCGAGCTCATGCTCTGCTTGACTTCGGCCACAATCTGATCGATGTCCTCCTCCTGCTCGTAACTGTCCATGCGCGGGTAGGGCGCAAACTCGGCCTCCTTCTCAGGGCTGTCGGACTCACCGTCGGAGCGCTCATCGTAATGATGCAGCCGCGCGCCCAGGGCCTCCTGGCGGTATGCGGCCGCTTCGTCGCGCTCCTGCTCGTAGAGCCTCAGGCCGTCGCGCGCGTCCAGCTCGGGCGCGTCCCCGATCTCCTCGTACACGTGCTCCTGCAGGCCGCCGTAGTCGGCGTAGGGCTCCGCGTAGGGCTCGTCCTCGCCGCGGTGGAAGAGCCGGTGCGTGTAGACGTAGCCGGAGTAGGCCGCGTTCATGGCCTCCTCGTGCTCCAGCGAGTGAAAGTGCAGGTGGTTGGGCAGCGCGCGGCGGTGCGTGGCCTCTGCGTGCTCGGCCTCCGCCTGCTCGGTGTACTCCTCGGCCTCCGGCCGGTACTGCACCGCGTAAGCACTTTCGTCCTCAGGGTCCTGCGCGCGCTCCGCATCGTAGCCGTCGCGAGCCGCGGCGATCACGTCGCCCTCGGCAGTGTCGGTGTGATTGTGGAAGCCACTCTCAGTGCTGGCGGAGCGCGCCAGGCACTCACCGCGCTCCTCCTCCTCCTGCTGCCCAAGCTGCGCGCGGAGGTCCTCGACCACACGCCCGCGCGGGTGGTGACCCGCATAGTGCTGCTGCTGCTGCGGCGGCTGCTGCTGCTCCTCCTCCACTTCGGGGTGCTCCAGGTCGGCCTCCACTGACTCGTTGACCTCCCCACCTGCCGCCTCGTCGGTCACCTCCACCTCCGCGGAGCCCTCCAAGTGGTTCATGGTGGGCGTCGTGGATGGCTGGGAGAGAGGCTGGGCCTGATCACTGTGCTCTCATTTTGCTCCAAGGGGCTGGAAAGACAAGAAGGGGAGAGGCTGTCACGTGGTTTGAATTGTAGTTTTGAACTAACCACAGAGATAACCATAAAAACTGCTGCTATTGATCCCTTCTGAATGTGGGTCAATTAAAAAATGATTGCAAATTTAAGTTCAGTCTGACACTACGTAGCTCATTTTCTTCATAGCACACACCATAATTTGTAATTACATATCTACTTTTTAAATTGCTTATTGGCGTTCTGCCTTCTCCACCCTCAGACTGGGAGCCTCATGAGTATTTTGTTCTTGTGCATAGTATTCAGGTTCCATTTCTGATGTATATGAATAAAGAGTACTACTAAATTGAATGGGCCAATTGACACATTTTCCATCTGCTGAAAGATAAATCTCTCTAAATTAAGCTAGGATCCTCAGTACTTTAGAAGCAATTCTTTAAATTTCAAGTAAAACTAATCTTGAAATCTTTTTGAAGCCTTTGCTGTCAATACTATTCTGAGGGACGTTATCAACCCTCAATGGGGATACATCCTGGCTGTCATTACTGGCTGTTATCTCAGGCAAATCTTAGTTTTCTGGACCTCAAGATGAGACAATCTCATTTCCTGAATGCAAGATATTAACCGCTATTGCACAGGGGGAAAAGAACTCCATGGTACAATAAATTTGGGAAGTTACAGTTGGCTTGCCATTGTGAATATTCAGGAAAAAAGATAAGAAATGTTTCCCTAACTTTTAAATCAGGAAATACTTTTTTCCCCTTAGAGCTGGAGTTGTATCAAATTCATTTACAGAAATATTAACTAGCTTGTTTTTAATACAATATGCCCTGAATCTAAAATTCTAAGATTCTATGAATTGATAATAGCTGGAACTGGATTACATGGCCGATTTTTAGAAAGTATGGGACATTTTCTTTTTTACTTCTAGAGAAACTTGAAACTATAGACATAGATTTGGGTTCAACCTCTATTATTTTTAATCAAAAAATAGTTTAACAGCATAATTTGTGCAATGGAAACAGACATAGGAATATAAAGAATAAAAACAGAAACAAAAAGCAAAAGCAAAACTAACCAACCAACCAGGGAACCAACCGACAAAAAACTCAGGATCCTTGGGATTTGAAGACATTTGGGATAAATGGTTGAAAAATATATGTGAATTTTTCTCAATCTTCTTTTGGAGAGTCCATCTTATACATGGCACATGGACAGGAAGTAAACTCCTAAGTGTAATAGCATATAGCTATATAGGTAGTATATACAGCTCACATTCTATATAGGTAGTATAGTGCAGTGTTGAGTTCTGTATTAATAAGAGTGACCAATTAAGGGACAGAAAACTAAGACCTGGAGGAGAGGAAGTCAGGGAAAGCTTCGGAGAAACATAATACTCTGATTCAGAAGGGGGGTGGAGAATGGTATTAGATGCAAATGGGAAGTACATTTTCATATATTCTATAAAGGTATGTAAAAGAAGAATGGATATGAATGGAAGAATCTAATCATAATGGAAGAAACTAATCATGTCAATATAGCTATAGACAAAAACTGGAGGATGTGGAGTTAGAAAAAGGGACTGATCGTATGCTAACATGGCCGACAAGGTACAGCAAATAGATATATTGACATGAATTATACTCCACCCAATTCCCCACCATAACCATAACAGTTTCCCTTTAGACATTCATGACAAGCCAAGTAGAAAAGCAGACCATTTTGAAACTACCAAGTCCACCTTGAAGCAGAAATATATCCCCCCATCCCATTCTTCGATGGAACCATCTCTAACTGATGCTCATTAGAAGAAAACAATCATGGTTTACCAAAGATGAACAATCCTTATTGCTTCTCTACTCAAAAAAGAATTCCACTTCAAGTTACTCCCAGCCTGTTTTGAAAAATTGTGGCTTTCTCTCATTAATCCCTGAGAACAGTGACTGTACCTTAAGTGTAAGAAGTTTCCCCAAAGCAGCTATGCATTATCATTCAAACCTTGATAGATAATTCCCTGAACAAAAGTCAAGAGCTGGTACTGAAAGACACCTGCTTAAATGGTCTCTACACAATTCTGGAAAATGCAAAACACTGGATTCACTGCAACACACAGATAAGAACAGTGTTAACTCAGTTTCCTTTATAAAGATTCTAGAAAAGACAGCGGATATAAACTACTTTAAAAGTACACTTACACCTTAGTGTACAAATCTGAGTTTAGTGAACACATGGCAAGTGTTCACAGAAAAGGATAATGAACATACTACCAGCTTCTCTGGGTCCTGTTACCCCGAGGCTTCTCAACTATGCATGGTCAATAATGGAAATACAGTAACCAACCATTCGAAGCAGGTGAATGACTAAGAGTTCATGAGCACATGCAGAAGTGACCAAACCACTTTCTTCAGTGAAAATGGCTTTTTCTTCTATTGATGTATGTTTTAAAAAGAAATTTTAGTGTATTCTGGGTTTAAATCATATATGATCAGCAATCGGTGCCTTCTCATAAATCACACATCGATTCAAAGGAAATGGAATTTCCATGCAGGTGCAACAATAGATCATGATAAAGAAAGCCTTTGGAGGGAAAATATTGTTAGAATAATGCAGCTTTGGTACAATGGAACTCTTTGTTCGCTAAGAATATTCTCTTCATTTCCCTATCTCCAAACCTCAAAGGAATATTTGTGCATATAATGTCTGTATTTCATTCGCCATCATGATTTCAAGAGTACAGTGTGCATATTCATTACAAAATATTAATGAGTATCAGATACTTGGATTGAGAGATTTCCCTATGACAAAGCAACTGGCAATGTCTAGGGAAGGATCTGGAATTCATGGTTACTTCCATTACTAACATAAGAGAGGGCTTCTCTCTGTACTGTTGCAACTTTGGAAGTGGTATTTGTTAAAAACAAAACCAGACCCAGACTTCTTAAAGAATCCCAGGTTATTGTGGGAATGCATATTGGTACAACATTTTTGAAAAACAGTTTGTCAAAATGAATTAAAGTCTTTCAAAAGTAATATACCTTGTGCCCCAGTAATTCTATTTATAGTCTAAAAGAAAATTCCAAGACAAATGCTTCTCCTAGTATTTACTTCAGAAGCAAAAATTATATTACCTAACTATTAAGCACTAACATTTATTAAGTACTTTAAATATGATGCTAAGCATTTGAGCATCATCCATTGATCATGAAGTACACCTATCTCCCAAACCTGGTCCCCCATTCTGTAGTTCCTGTATGAGTCAAGGGCACCACCAGCCACCCATGGGATCCTTGCTTTCACTCAATTGATGGGTGAAAGCCTTAGTAACTTCACTGCCTTAGTAACTCTCAAGTCTGTCTTCATTGCTGCTCCCTTTCCTTGGTCTGTCTTGTCTACACAGTGTATTAGTCACTGATTTCTCAGCCCCCTCCAGCTCATCCCCTTCCCTTCCAGCCTGATGATCTTTCCAGAACACAATATCTGAATGCATAACCATAATCTGCAAACCCTTCAGTGATTCCCTTCCAGTGCACAGTACAAGTACTTAGCTAACTGTGTACCAGGTACTAACTGGTGAACCAGGCATTTCCCACTGACCAATTCATTGCTCACATTAACCTGATGAAGAGAGGATGTCATCTTGGCTCTTTTGAAAATGATGAAGCAGAGGAACAGGGAGTTAAGTTTTTGCCTGGGTCACATACCTGACAAGGAATGGCACTGGTGTTTGAGACCTGTTCTCTGACTGTGGGGTCTGGGTTCTTAAGTCTTACTCCTGGCAAACCAAGGCCTCAGGCTGCTTCCCTCTTCCATCCTTATCTTCACAGTCCACCCTGCACTATGTCCTTCAGCCCAAAGTCCCAGTGCTGGCACTAACAGCCTTGCCTATTCTCAGGAAATTTCCCATTTGTAACACTTCTTAGTGAACCTTTCTTATCTTCCTGGAGACAGTGCGTATTTGATGAGTGTCTGTTAGGTGCCATCTCCAGGCCATGTCATGGGCACTAGGGCAAAGCAGTGGTCAAGCCTTGAGAGGCTCCCCTGCTCTCTGGAAGCCCCCTTCTTATRCATGGGAGAGGGTGGAAGGAAAGGAAAGGGGAACAGACTAATTGTGTGAAGAAGTAAACAAGATAATTTCCCAGTGAAATATTTTATGAAGGAAATACAACATTGTCATAGGAAGTGACTGAGGAGAGGGTAATATGGTGACATGGGCCAGAAAAAGTGATACTTAGCTGAGGCCTGAATGGTCAAGGAAGAGGGTGTCTTGAAAAGATCTGAGGGCACAGGCTTTGAGGTGAGAAAGGACTTGCTGTGTTCAAGGACAAAAAATGATATCTGTGGGCAGATATGGAGTGAGTAAGGGACAGTGTGGCAGGAGATGAAGATAGAGAGATGGGAAAGGGCTCAATCAGGCAGAATCTGGCACATCATGGTTCAGGGTGTGATTTTATCTCAAGGGTAGGTGTATACTACTGGGGATTTTAAGCAAGGGGGTGATAAGGCCTGTCCCCACTAATCTACCTGTCTGTTTTCTATGTACGACTGTCTCCCCCTCTGCCTTTCCCTACCCTATTCTGAGCAATAATTGTTTTTAAAGATGATGTCCTTGGGAAAAGAGGTCTTGCCATGCATTTTTGATTCTCTAATGCCAAACATGGAGGATATGTGAGGATATACAGCTGGTGCTCAATGAATTTTTATTACTTTAAAAGCAAAAAAAAAAATCTTCATTCATTTGCCCTCCCAATCAATAACTAGGGAATGATCTGCCATTGGAGAAGAACTTACTTCTTTCCATCTTGAATCTTTGCTGTCCTCATCCACCTATGAACCCTCCTTAACCTTCTTCTGATGTTTAAGGACCCAAAGAATGCTAGAGATTCAACATTCTCCTACTTTTGAGTGTGCCGATCCAACTGGCCTTTATTGGACATATACCAGGCAGTGTGCAGGGCAAAGGGGATTCAGAAGGTTTTCTTGTGTTACTGCAGATGAACACATAAAAGTTCCTAAACC